CGATTTGCTTTGCTTATTGTGAGCGTTACATTTATCTTGGTGCTATCGCCTTCATCCAGTCGTCATCGAGTTTGGTGGAAATTTGTTCATATTTCACTGATGGTGAGTGAATTCGTTCGTTTGTATTTTTGCATGAGTTGGATGCATAAGAAATGCGTTGTTTGATGTGATAAATTTACAGATGCGACGATCTTTGTTTATGGGAATTTGTGTTGCGCTTTGCATCGATGCAAAAATCGACCACTGGGCCGTACAAAATTCTCAAGAGATGCTTAAATGGAAAAATGCACGACCACTACCCGTCGATCTTTTTTGCAGATTATGTGAAGACTTCTTCACAAATCTGTTGAGAGCCGCTCGTAGGAACCAAGAATCGTCTCTTCAGGTAGTTGTTCAATTCAGGTGGTCGTTCAATTGCTACGTTAAATCGAATTGTCGATCAACTAGAAAACCATCTTCAGTGCACTCCAGAAACTTGGAGTTTTCTTTTTTTCGAGAGTTGCCACTCTGATGTGCAACCATTCAAGACAAATGCTGTTCGGTGATGAACGATGCACATCGAATTTTTAACTGTTATTCGGATCGTATTTCAAAGAACTTTCAACAAACGAATCAACTTTTAACAATTATCTTCAGAAAAAGTTCGCGTTACGTGCGAACGTAAATATTTGCGTCGTAACTTTGTGAAGTAAATATTTCTTGTTCGTTTTTCAGAGTTTAGAGCGAACTTGTGAATTGCTCTCGAACAATGATCCATTCCTCTATCCGACTTGTCTGGACTTCACGACAATGGAAATCGAGTCACTTCTCGGCGAGTTTGAGAATGACTTCACACCAATTGATATTTGTTATTCACTGGAAGTGTGCTGATTCCTAGAATGCTGATGATTGGACGGTACAGCTCGATAATGTTTTTGGTATGGTTGACANTAGGTGATAATAGCACAACTAAGCTTTCTGAGTGAACTACTGTTGTATTAGTTCATCAAAAAGAATCCGATTCTTACATTTAGTCTGGTGTTCATACATTGAATGTTCGTCGTCTAATCATCAGCATAAATTTGTACCGTTTATTCCTTTGTGATATATTTCAATAAATGCTCATCTATTCTTGATTCATGGTGATACAGCATAAGATAAAATTAACTGTTTGTGTGAACCTCAAAGAGGTATGTTTATCGATACAATCATTTGTATGAAAATCCCAACAAGGAACTAGTGAGTCGTCGAAAGCACTTGAAGATTATCGACATGCTCGACGAAACGAGATCAAATAATAGAAGTTCGGAGAGCATAACATGAAAATGTTCAAATGTCAAGTAGTCAAACTCTTAAATCAAATCTTATTACGAAAAGTCAATTATTAGCATCATGTATTGCTTTTAAAGAGTTGACTCTGCGGAAAGAGTGAATAAATTCTGAGCATTCAGAAAAGCGAAAGAAGTGTTGACGAGTTGTCACGAAGAGTAAAATTCAGTGTCAAACCAGCACAACATGTCAAGCATTTCAATGTTGCTTATTATGTTGCGTTTTCAGCCAAATAAAATCAACCTCAAGAAAATTAAGTAAGTCAAACACAAAAAAACAATCGAATGCCATCGAATGGTAAAAAAACAAGAAAAAACAAAATAATGTCTCAAATGTGAAAGCCATCGGACATTGACGAACTTCTTTAACGGCCTCCACCTAAATAATGCATTTTTGTATCTCTGTTTCTGTCAAAGTACTCGACCAATTAATTTCGTCATTTAATTGTATCATCGGTACATTTTGTGAGTAGCTTTAATGATCCATTTAATAAGGCAGTATAAAAGTGCATTTTCAGCTTTCAGCGTCGTTCCAATATTCGTTCTTAATATGCTCGACTTTGATAATTTTAGTCATGCTTCTTATAATGATACATGTACCGAAATGGACTTTATGTTTATCTGCGGTCACTGCTTCACGGTTGCATATATTCTGCTTTAAGCAATCTTATATTATGACCTGGTTTCATTTATCAACCGAAAAAAATCCAGAAGCGACAACATATAGTTAATCGACTTCTGATGAATGAATGTTTTACGATAGATGAATGTTTGTGATGAATGTTGATCACGATTGAATTGTTCCGATGAAATCAACCAAACGACAATTTTTGCATTTGTGATGACGTTACAAGAGCGATCGTGTCAGAATGAAACTGTTTTTGTTTGTTGGCTTTATCACTGTGCTAGCGGTGAGAAGTGCATCGGTTTACAAGCCTGGGCGAAAGCCCATAAAGGTTTCGAAAAGTAATTTATTGGAAACGATGCAATGTGCCAGAAATTTGTAACAAATCTTCAACAGTCTTTATCCGATCACAAAAACAATGTGGAGAAGGTCAATCCATCATTGTGAAATATTTCTTTAAGCGCGTGTTGTTTGCAAAGAGCAGATTATAGTTTGAATCAATTTGTGTTTGATTCAAGGGAGATANGGGCATTGTTTACTTTCAATGTTCTCCTCTCAAAGAACAAAATTCAGTGAGCATCAATTCAAAAAGCGATCAACCACCACTGCATACCCTAGTCAAACTGTTTATTTTCACATCAAACAATCACCACTGTGATGAGATAATAAGTATGTTGCCTGAAATAAAAGAAGAATTCTTGATATGCGGTATAGCTGCCAATTTATGTGATGCAGATCTATATGATGCAAATTTATGTGATGCAGATTTATGTGATGCAAATTTATGTGATGCACTAGCAGCAGCAGACAATAATTTATTGGATCCAATTTACAGACAAATAATCGATGTCGAACTCGAAGGTATCATTAAGAGTCTCAAGCAAAACACTGAACCCACTCAAATTTGTCGAGATGTTCTCCTGTGTATACAAATTCATCCGCCTTTTTTTACAGTAATCACTATTGCTAACATTGTTGATGCAACACTTCAATGTGTGATTGCAATGTTCCATTTACTATAAGTATTCAAAAATGTTTAAATTTAAATAAAATCATACAATGCAAATGCGGTTGACGCTAAACACTAAAAACCCCATTCTCATCATGAACAAGGGAAACAGTCAGTCATTCGACGAAACGCCATAGAATTGTATCCGGATGCTCACTGCTATTTGATCATGAACAATATCCAGTCCATTAGAGTCCATAGCAACTAATGACACGTTCAAATGTCACCCGAAGCTTGCTCCAAGAATTTGAATGCGAGTAAACATTACGCCAGCCTAGCAGAAGCCTGCTCGTGGACGTTGAGCGTGTGACATTGACACTCTCAGATTGCTGAATGTAAGTATGCAACAAATATTTCACCATCAGCAATCAGCTTTCGGGTCAATAACGCCTCGGTAACGAATGACGACTTTTCATGCATTCTCACATTTCTGAATGTGATCATAAAATGCCATCAAAATTCACAAATATCTCAGTAATTTCAACACTTTTGAATGCTCCTAAATGGGTGCTCATTCACATGATTGAAATTTTCATCGACAATATCTCTGAGTTNNNNTTTTTTCAGAGCGGGTAAATCAGGGTGAGTAATGAGATTTATGACTGAACATTAAAATTTTGATGGAATACTGAGCATTAAAAATTCATTGCATCACCATCAAAGCAGCCATTCTAAGTAAGAGTGACAATTCAAAAGGTTGTGAAGAGGGAGTATATGTTTCCGTTGAATCTATTGCGAGGAATATTTGTTGAGATTCAATTTTAACTTTGATTGAGCAAAGTCAGTCGACTCTTTGTGGTATTTGACAGATGATAAATGCTCCATCAATGAACGCGCTGACGGGCTTTAATAAATGCGGCTCAGTGATGGGAGAAAATTCAATAAGTTATCTTCTGAAGTGAAATCTTTGACGAGAGATTAAACATCTCTTCAACTGTCAACATTTTTTCCACATAAACATCAGGATCCTGTTTCAATTTCATTTGTTATATTGCTTTCGGGAATTGAAAAGTGAGCACTTTTCCAAAATGATTCCTTTTCAAGTTTCAAATTGTATTCAATTTGAAGGATACCAGTCACACCATTCTGCTTCACCGCTCTTAGGTTTTTTTTTGATGCAAAGAATGGAAACAATAAGTTACCATGTTAGGTGATCACAACTACTCTTAAACGGCTGAATCCGATTCAAAAAACCAAACAACAGCAGGCAAGCGCTTGATAATTTTGTCGTTGAAGTTTACAGTATCACCGAACTTATATGAATCAATATAAATTCAAAAGGTTGATCTTTTATTTGATTGACCAATATGTAGAGTCGAAAAAGTTGACGGTCAGGTGTTCAGTTGAACAATAATTTGTTAGTCACCATAAGCCCATTCATATCGCGATTTTTATGCCAAAGCGTTGAGGTGTAGAGGTGAGAAAAACTTTCGCATGACTGGTTGATATGTGGATAATAAATTGCTCTTATTTTTTCTATTCTTGCATTTGATTCCTATATGTATCAAATGCAACAGCTGTGTTGAGTTATGTGTATATATGTTCGTTTGCGGATGTTCAATGCATTTTTAATTCATTTACTCCGATATTCTTTTGACTATTCGTCAAGCTTATTCAGTAATTGCGGTATTGGTACCAATTATGTGCATTCCTTTCATGCTGTTGCTCTTGTTTCTTCAACACATCATCTGATTGTCGAGAATAAATGATAACTTATATGCATATGTATTTCAAGATCTCACATCTCAAACATTCAATTACATTGGAAAAGTTTTTTTCGGAAAAAATTCTCAAAATTGCCAGTAATTAGTTGACTGTAATAATCATAATAATAGCGTTGAATTATTATCGAAGGAAAATGGTGAGAATGTTTCGAAATGATGTTAACGGGGATGCTAACGAAGGAATTCGATAGGAGACGAGATTATTGAGCATTTATTTCATTGCTGTGATTTTTTTGTTGCTTCATTTCTATGTAATAACAATGACTTAATAATATACGTGCGAAAATGACACTCACACATTGATAATCGAATTGTCTTTTTCAGTTAAGGAATTAGTAGCCAATTCACAGTCGCTCACGCTGATGCGTTTTCCGTTATCGATTTATTGTGTACAATTTGCTAGAAACACTTCTTATCATGCCTTTTCAATTGCTTTTCAAATATTTGATTTTTTTTTCCTCATCGAGTAAGTCACCTCGAGATGTTTGAGGGGTTTATTAAATCAAATGTAGTGCAGAAGTTCCATTAGGAGAATTGAACGAAGATAAGCGTTCATGGCCAATAAATGATGCATAAAAAATTTGCAAAATCAGATTGAACAAAACACTGAGAAACGCATCGCAATCCTAAAAACGCATCTTTCAATTCATACCTCATTCTAAGTCAATCATCCTTCATTCCAAGTCCAATTCAACAGGCCTTCAATCAAACAATTCGACTGCCTATAATTCAATAGTGTTCTCAAAGTTGGCTGCATTTTTTCGGCTTCATGCAACGAATGAGCAATCAAACACCTCAAAGTCTGTGCAAAGATGTTTCTTTTTGTTATTTCAAAACAAATAATTGGCCAACTGCAGAAACACAAACCCTGTATACTATATTCTTAGAAATTACCAAACCTGTTTCACCTTTTGAGTATCTGAAACTGTTTCGTTCTGAGTCCGACAATTCAGTGCAACGCTAGAAAGTAAGTGACTGGAATCCGGTT